AACCCTGGGCTGCAGAAGCGGAGTGCATGAACTTAACCACTTGGCCACGGGGCCAGCCCCGAACACGCTTTATTTCTACATCCAAAATGACTCACACTGCTTTTAGTCATTGGCTGCCATGAAAGTTTTTATGGGTCTACTCTTGCTCAATTGGAGAGTGCCTAGTGAGTGAGCTGCCTGGGGCGTGACTTCTGTTCCACTTTAGGGGCAGCTAACTTGTTTCAAACCTGTCATATACTTTAAAAAAATTTTAGAGCCAGCTCTGATGGCCTAGTGGTTAAAGTTCTGTGTGCTGCACTTTGGTGGCCTACTCATTCGGGGCAAGGACCTATATCACTCATCTGTCAGTAGCCATACTGTGGCAGTGGCTCACATTGAATAACCAGAAAGGCCTACAACTAGAATATACAACTATGTACTACGATTTTGGGGAGAAAAAAAAAGAGAGAGAGGAAGATTGACAACAGATGTTAGCTCAGGGCGAATCTTTCCCAGCAAAAAACAAAAACAAAAAGAATTTTTTAATTCATTATTTAAAAACTTTGAAGTATAGCTTGCATACAGAAAAGGGAACAAATCAAAATTGTAAATGCAATGAATTATCACAAAATGAGTACACTCGTGTAACATTCACTCAGGTCAAGAAATATAGTATTACCAGCATCCCAGAAGCCTCACCCCTCAACACATGTCCTCCTCTTGACAGTTGCCCCAACATGACAGTTATATGCTTTTTAAAATAATTTAAAAAACTTTTTATTGACTGTCTCTAGAAGTTTGTTAATCCTGGGTCCCTTGACTCAATTTCAAATTCGACTTAAAAACTCCAAAGTTTATTTTTTAAATAAAGTTTGTTATTCCTTGATATTCTAAAAGTGTTGTGCATATGAAGCAACAAACTTTGGCTTTCCAGATTTTTTACAAGACCCCTGATTTCTCTTTGGCTTATCTGTTCATTTCTAACATTTTTCTGCTAACAGTTAAAAGATGTCCATTTTATCTTTGTAGTTTGAGAGACTAAGTCTGTCTGAATGAAGCAGGGATTATGAGTTTAATCAAATCTCATTGTATGGAAATAAAGTGTATAACAACTGAAAGTACTCATTAATTGAATAACGGATGTCCTAGGTCCTTGCTACTCTACGTGTCGTTTGTGGGTCAGCAGCATCCACCATCACCTGAGAGCTGGTTGGAAGTGCAGAATCACAGGCTGCAGACGTACTGAATCAAAATCTGCATTATGGCAAGATCTCCAAGTAATCTGTACACATACAGAGGTCTGAGAAATATACCATTGGAGGTTTCTGTAGGTTTATAGCTCCACTATTTGTTTCGACTTCTTTTTCTTCCAAATAAATTGAGTGCTGTAAGGAAAAGCCAGAGCTGGAGGATGAAGGAAGGGCAAAGACCTTGGCAGTGGTAGGAGGGTTACTGGACGCATTAAGGAGGTGCCTCCCTTTGGCTAAAGAAGTGCTTTTCCCTTTTGTCCTCTTTCCCTCTTAGAGCCTTCCCTTCCTTGGCATGTGTAGAATGATGACACTGATCATCAAATGAATGAACGGTAACAAATCAATACTCCTTTCTCTTGCTTCGCCTCTTACAGTTTTTCACTTTCTTTTTTTGTTGCTGTTTAAAGATTGACACCTGAGCTAACAACTGTTGCCAATCTTCTTTTTTTTTCCTTCTTCTTCTTCTCCCCAAAGCCCCCCAGTACATAGTTGTATATCATAGCTGTAGGTCCCTCTGGTTGTGCTATGTGGGATGCCGCCTCAGCATGGCCTGATGAACAGTGCCATGTTTGCACCGGCTTCTGAACTGGGAAACCCTGGGCAGCAGAGCAGAGTGCATGAACTTAACCACTTGGCGGTGGGACCAGCCCATTTTTTACTTTCTTAATGAATATTTGCAGAAATCATGTTTTCAAGTTTATGTATTTAGGGTTTTTTCTGAAAAAAAGGTAGAATTTGAAAAATTACATGTAGTCTCATAATTGACATAGTATAGCAAGTTAGAGTATCTACATTTTGCCTTGTTTCACACAATGTGTAATATTTACATTGCCTTGCAAAAATGTTTGTGTTATAAAAAATGCCTGAAAACAAAATCAGTTTCTGTGTTTCTTTTACCCTCAAAGTCTCAACATGCTCTCAAATTAAATCAGATTTTCCAGAGACATATATTATTTTAGGGGGCAATGCCTACCCCTAGGGAAATAATAATATTGATTCAAATAGGATTAAATTATCTCTCAACTCAGACCAAGTGAGAGGAAAAACAAAGGAAAGCTTTCTTTAAAGAACACCAGCTAAAAAACGTAGAAAGAATGAAACAATAACATCACCATTTTGTAACTCCCAATCTAACAGCTGATTCAGGCAAAGTAAGAATCATTAACTGATGTTAAATCAGTGAGATGAAAGATCCTTGGGTGTATTAGCTACATATTTTGGTGAAACAAATCATCCCAACAATTAGTAGCTGAAAACAACAAACACTAATTCACTCAATTCTGAGGGTCAGGTATCCTAGAGCAGGTAGTGAAGTGCTCTGGCTCAAGGACTCTCCGGAAATTGTAGTGAAGCTGTTGGCCAGCGCCACAGTCATTTCAAGACACAAATAGGGCTGAGTGATCTGCTTCCAAGCTCACTCATGAGCTAGTTGGCAGGCTTCAGTTCCCTGAGGGCTGTCAGACAGAGTCTGTTTTGCCATACAACGTGGTGTGAGCCACTCCTGGGACTGCTCACGATATTGCCTTGCTTCCACCAACTCGAGTGGCCCAAGAGAGAGGCAGAAGCAGAGACAGAGATAGAAAGATAGAGGCAGAAGCAAGTCTTTTTAAAACATAGTATCAGAAGTGACAATCCCACTACTTCTTTCGTATTTTACTTGTTAGAAGAGAGTCTATAAATCCAGTCCACATTTAAGGGGAGGAGATTACATAAGTGCATGACTGCCAGGAACAGGGATCACTGAGGTCATCTCAGAAGCTGCCTAGCACAAGAGGAATCAAATGTTTATATGACGCCAGAGTATTTCCTCACAGATTACATACTAGTTATGAAGAACATGTACCGTTACAATGGAGAGACGTGACAGTTTCTAAATTTTGCATCACTAATGCTGGAACTTCCTGATATGATACAGTATAAATTTCACAACATCACCTATGAAGTAGTCTTGCCAACTGTGTTTAATCTTTAGACTTAATTTTACTTAATAATACTTTGAAGGGATGGATGAAAGTTACCAACAGCATGAGGAAGCAGCCAAACAAATCCAGAGTGTAGGCCACGCTACAAAACAACCTTGTGGGACTCTTCAAAAGGTCAATGTCATGTGAAAAAAAATCTTGGGGGATTAATCCAAAAACTGAAGAGATACAACCAAATGCAATGTGTGAATCTTGGTTGGATGCTAGATTAAACAAAACTAACAAACAAAAATAGCTACAAAAGACATTTTGGGGATAATTGAAGAAATTTTAATATGTAAAGAAATTGGATTATATTATACAATTTTATTATTATACAATTAGGTGTGATAATGGACTTATAATCCTGTAGGAGAATGTCCTTATTCTTAGGATACGCTGAAATATTTTGGAGCAGTGTTATGAGGTCTACAACTAACTTTTAAATAGTCCAACAACCACAACATGTGTGTGTGTGTATATGTCCATACAGAGAAAAAACAAATGTGGCAAAGTGAGCATATAATGTTGAATCTAGAGTATACAGAGTTCACTGAACTGTTTTTTAAAAATTATTTTGAAAACTTTTCTGCATGCTTGAAAATTTTCAAAATAAAAATTTTGGAAAAAATTTCTCTCTCATCTTTACTTCCAAATAATTCCATTGGTCTTAAAACTCTATTTTAGCCAGTCTTTTCTGGAACATAGTTCCTCTCTGAAGAATGTCTAAAATAACAACTCCTTTCTTTTTCACTCAAGAAATTTCCTGAGAACAATTACCAGATACATCATGCCACTTTGTTTTTGAGTTGGTGATTTCTATTTTAGCTCCCTCACTCAACTGGAAGCTCTGTCAGGTAAGGACTAGGTTTTATATATCACTGCACAAAACCGACTGCAGGGAATTACTCATATTACACCACATCTGTTGATGCTCATTAACTTACACCAAAGAATAAAAAATAGAAGCCAAGCAGACAGTCTACTTTAAATACTAGCTTGTAGTTTATATAGTATAGAACTCATTTAGTTCTCAAAGAGCTCTACAATCTATATCCTAGAGACGCTCATTGTTATTCCCTCATAGACTTCACAATCCTTATTTATTTTTTATTTAAAAGCAGCACTTTAAGGCCTAACTTTAACATGATTAAAGTTGTCTTTAAATAGGGTTTTACAAAGAAGTTTATAAATCTCATACCACCAAAGTTTACCATATGGTAAAGTCCTTAAGTAACAGATAAAAAACATGTTTAAATTAATTTATAGATGGTTATTTAAGAAAAGGCATATAAAGAGAACAAGCGACCTGTCCTAAATCACCTAATCAATTCTCAATACTTTATTTCTCTTTTCAATGACACATGCTTGTTTTCTACTTGAAGAGTTGGACTGTACTTTACAGGAAACCTAAAATAAACTCTTAGGTCAAGAAATGTGACAATTCAGGGGCCGGCCCAGTAGTGTAGCAGTTAAGTGTGCACATTCCACTTCAGTGGCCCAGGGTTCACCGGTTCAGATCCCGGGTGCAGACATGGTACCGCTTGGCAAGCCATGCTGTGGTAGGTATCCCACATAAAGTAGAGGAAGATGGGCACAGATGTTAGCTCAGGGCCAGTCTTCCTCACCAAAAAAAAAAAAAAAAAAAAGAGGAGGATTGGCAGCAGATGTTAGCTCAGGGCTAATCTTCCTCAAAAAAAAAAAAAAAAAGACAGAAATGTGACGATTCATTAAAAAATATGTTTGTAAGTACTGTGTGTTTTTGGCTGCGCTTTATGAACATTCACAAAGATTTCCACGCTCAGTCTGCTTCTTGATACAGGTGCATTTCATTTACACAATAATAAATGATAAATCATTTATTTTGCTGATTTAAGGTTTTCATCCAAAAATTCAGTAATGGCTTCTTCATCTGCTGACTGAAGTAGTCTCTGAATTAGGTGATCCAGGCACTTCTCCCCGTGTAAAAATTCCTGATAAAAGAGAGAGTTATTAGGAAAACTCCATTACTAGAAATAAAGGAGAAACAAAGCAAAGAATTAACTGTGTATTTACTTGGTTTCTTTATAGTCACTAATAGCAACACAGGATTACCAACATGGTTCTACAATGTAATGACCATGATTGCTAAGTTGGGAGAATTCCCAGTTAGTACTGGCTTTTTATATAAAAAGTGAATCCAAAAGAGTAAATGGAATTCTACTATTCGTCTCAAATTGTTTAAATTAGCCTTTTGTTTAAAAACCAATCTCCTGAGGTTTGGATCTTTCCAACAACTCTGGAGACAACAAAACAAAGAGAGCTGAATCAACTTTTGAATTTACCACCTCCCTCTCTTTAAAATTCCTTTGCTCGACTTTTCTGACAAAACCGTTTTAGGTCCTCAAACCATCTTTGGGAGGATATGTTTGCTGAATCCTTTCTCCTCTTGTACCCTAAAAAAAATAAGGGTTTTTATTCTTGTCCTGAAAATTCTACCATTTTCCTTCATAACACCTTATTTCCCAAGGGGAAAAAAGATTGAAACGCCTTAATGCCCAGGCATCTTGCTGCTGTGTTAATGTGCACACTGCTCCCTGTCATTCTCTCCTTGCCAACTCCTCTGGACCTGGCTCAGATAAAGCCTCCCCAGACCATTCCAGCTCACACTTACGCTAATCCTCCAAATTTAGATGAAATGGTTTATGACAGTTCCGTTTTATTCTTCAGTTGAAAATACACTGATTTTAAACTCTAGAAGTCCTACATGCTGAAACATTTAGGGGATCAGTGTCTTGAAGTCTGCAACTGCTTTCAAATGGCTCAATAGCAACACAGGCGTATATATGGAAAGAAAAAGGAGGTGGAGGAGGAAGAGAAGGCAAATGCAGAAAAACGCCAACGACTGCTGCCTTCGGGATAGGGTGTATATTGAACTAGTCTTTAAACAGGTATGCTTGAAACTTTCAAAATAAAAAGTTGAGAAAAAAATTTCTCTCTTATGTTTACCTCCAAGTGATTCCATTGGATGAAAACTGTTTCAGTTAGACTTCCCTACAGTGCCTCTCTGAGAAATGACTACAACAACGACTTCAAGTACTTTTCCTGTGTTATACACACTCTATATAACAGAGTTGTTGGGATTAGTGAATTAGCACAATTTCATACTTGAGAAATGCTCAAAATCTACACATTGGCTCAATGGAAATACTTTGTAGTGTTGGCATCTGGAACAGAAAATATTTAAAGTTTTTATGCAGGCACGAACTAATCTTATATTTAGTCTTTCTTGAATGGTCTTAAAATTGAATTTTAGATTAAGTGTACACATTTATCCCTCAAGTTAAACTGTAGGGGAAAAGATCTGCCTTACTATCTTTGTAGTCCCCAAATACCAGTACTCAGTAAAAGCTCAATTAAACTTTAAAATTAAACTGGAAGCAAAAGCACCATGAAGAAATTCGAAAATTAAGACTTATGCCATATTGAGCATAAAATGAAAACTGATTATAAAATTAGTATGCCAAGAGTTCACATTATTATGGTATTGCCAAGGTGATTTCATCATTTGGAAATTATGTAAAAAGGATTAGCATTCTTACTGATAATCACATCACATTGAGAGTTCAGCTGGATTAACCAGAGTGCTAGAGAGAGGAAGATAAAGATCAATGAGTCTAGTTCCTAACTTTCAGAAGCTCATAATGTAGGGGTGAGCCAGGCAAATATATAAGCATCACAATAAAGTGCAAGAAATTAAAAAATAAAGAAAAAAGTGAGGGCTGTAAGGAGTCATTAATTTCGACAAGAAGGTGGCATCAGCGAAGGGTTTAGGAGGGAAAAAAATATTTTAATTAGATCTTAAAAAGAGAATAATATTTCTCCAAATACAGTCATGTGTCGCTTAACGACAGGGATATGTTCTGAGAAATGTGTCGTTAGGTGATTTTGTTGTGCAAACATCACAGGGTGCACTTACACAAACCGAGATGGTATAGCCCACTACACACCCAGGCTAGATGGCAGTGATCTTATGGGATCACTGCCATATATGTGGTCTTTCACTGACTGAAATGTCCTAATGTGGTGCATGACTGTGGAGGTAGGCAGAACGGTCAAAAGAATTAGTAGGAAGAAAGGCACGGAAACAAAGTACATTTAAAGCCCAGGGCAAGGGGAAATTTCCAGTGTGACTGGAATATAGGGCAGGGGATAAGCTGATGCTAAGGAATCTGCACAAGGAATTGGAGAAACAGAATAAAAATACAAAACAATATGTTACATGGTAGCCTGTGCTCATTATCTAGACAAAATAAAATAAAATAAAATAACCTACAAGAGAATTCATGCTAAGAATACTGGATGATCTCACAGAACCCAGGGATAGGAACGTACAAGGCTGCTGCCACCACCATGGGAGTGAAGCTGGGCCTTAGGAATAAACGAACGTGAGGATTCATATCATCAGGATTCTTTCCATCCTGTTCTCCTTTTTGCTCCTTTCCTTATATCAGCTTGGCGGGAAATGTGACTTCTGACCTCTTGTAGACTTCACATATTTCAGCTTCTTCCTGTCCTTCAGATTTTAATGTTTTACTACAACATTTTTTTCCACGCCATTTTCAAATTCTTTCCTTTCACTAATATGGAATGTTTTCTTTCTTTCCAATAAGCTGTTAGTGATTATTAGAGCATGTCAATATCATTTTCCTTATTATTTCTGAGTCTGGCATGCTAGTTTAGTAATAACATGTCAGTATTTAGCCAAAGTAAGATATTTTATAACTATTAAAGCTAGTTACCCTGCCTCTGTTTCATGACTGAATACTATACTGAGCACCTATGTGGCCATCTAAAAAACATTACTGGTCATAAGAATGTGGCTGTCTCAGGGAAACCATCACCATTACCAGAAAAACAACTGAAAGAATATGGTGCAATTAAAACAATATTGCCAAACACGCTTGGCTATTTCTGTATGTTTCCTGAGGAAAGGGAAGTTAGCAAGTATTTTCTTCTTTTTGACACGACTATTATGTTCCTCTGCAAGACAGCCTTAAATTGCTGAGAAGACACAGGAAGTGGCACAAGATACACAGAAATTTCTAAATATATTAAAATCACAGACATTTCCCTTGCAAAATTAGGACTGTAATTCTGAGTATAGGACGGGACAGAATCAAGTAAAGGAGGCCTAGGTATCACATGGCACCAAAGAAAAAAATCAAAACCTTCTGTCACCTGCCTTTTCCACATAGTCCTTTATGGGAACGAGTTCATTTTCCGCTTCAGTGGAAGCAAAAGCAAAATTTTTCTGTGCTTCATCATTAATGTATTAATGTCAGTGGTCTCGGCTAGATGAGTTTTAGTTGGGTTAATGTTCAAACCATCTTGACAGGGTCTTTTCCAAAACAGCATTAAGTGTAACCCCTGAATCTCATGAATACACATTGTGGGAGGCAGAGTTCAAGATGCCCCGTGCTGTGCACACCTTGTGTAATTCCCTCCCTCAAGTGCAGGCAGAAGCTGCAAATATGATGGACTGTCACTCCAGTGATAGGTGACTAATCAGTTGACACTCAGTTAATCAAAAGCAATAGTATCGAGGTTGCCCTGGCCTAAACAGATGAGTCCTTAAAAGGCCTGAGCCATTCCTGCAAGAGATTCAGAGTGGGAGGAGGCACATGAAGGGGGCCACATAGAAAGCAATCGCAGGCGGTCTTTAGGAGCAGACAGCAGAGAATTCAGCTCTTTCATACTCGGACTTCTGAGCTACACTACCTATGAGATTATTATTATTTTAAGCCACTATATTTGTTGTAATTTGTCACACAGCAATAGAAAACTGATATACGTGTATATATGCATACCGAGTATCTGTTAATATGTTGTGATTGCATAACAAAGAATTTCGAATTTAAAAGATAACTGTTTCAAACTGGCATAAAGACTATATTTCTTACCAGCGAACTAATACAAATGTTTGCAAATTTTAGAGCATCAACTAACATAAACTGGCTTAATGATTTTAAATTACTTGGCAATATTTCAGACATAACTGTTCAGAATTTGACTACAGCTTCTTCAAAAGTCAAAAGTACATAAAGCATACTCAGTAATATTACCTTAATATTGCGAACTTCATATGCTATCCTGTGGTCAGTGACTCTATCCTGGGTGAAATTATACGTCCGAATTCTCTCTGACTGGGCTCTTGTTCCTACCTGTGCCGTAACAAAAAGCAATTCATATTTTAACTTTATAATTACCTTTATTGCAATGGAAAAGGTACTTGCAAGTGACTTTTCTATTTCAACAGTTTAAATCTTTTTTAAAAGTCATATACAAAGTGACAAGGAACAATAATGGGCAGAAAATGTTTGAGACTACAGGTTTGTAAAGCTTAGTTATGGAACAAGAATTAATGTTTCTTTGGCTCTTCAAACCCCAAATACTTAAAACCAAATTATCTTTCCACCCCATCAGTTCTTCCTCCTGGTTTCTATAAATGACACTACCATTCCCTTCGATCCAAGTAGGAAACTCAGACATCCTGCAATTTAACAAACTTTTCATGGGAGCTTTCTACCTGCCAGGCTTATGATGTAGACGCTGGGGGCACCTCCCATTCTCTGACTGCCCACTCCCAATGGTTTCAAGCGTCTCATTATATCCTGCCCTTTCCATTGCTACCAGCTATCCTTCACGGGCTCGCTACTTTCACCTGCATTCCTGTAAAAATCTCCTGATTAATCTTACATTTCCTTGCTTACATTGGGTTGCCCTGCTTAGTTGTCCTAAAACACAGTTTTCTGATTAATTTTCTTCTTTGGTTCCTTCTTGTCCACTAAACAGACACAACTCCACTCAGATTCAAGGCACTTCGTAATGTGGCCAATTTTCCTACATTATTTCTGAAGACTGAATTTCTATGATGCCACTTTTATATTATGTCATTATTATGTGTGTCTGTGTTAACTCTGCTAAAACATCATCTCAAGGGGTACCATTCCCTAACACTCTCCCACCATCTCTGCCTTTCCTGGTCCCATCAATTGAAATATGTTACTTTCCTCCTTTGAAGCCCGGTGCACTTGCAATCTGCTCCACAGCGCCCCACAGTCCGCCTTATGCGATGTTACTTGTACTCTTCTCAGTCTGCTCCTCTCCCCTACCTCCCCAGCACATGAGGCACACAACACCCTCTCTCGCTTTCAAGTTTTAAGATAAAAAGACATTTCCATAACTTATTTTCTTAACCCCCTAAAACAAATGATATGAAACTAAACTCCTAAAGATGGCTGATCATCAGGAGAATTTTTTAAAATTAAAGATTCCAAAGCCCAACCTCAGATACACTGAATCAGGGATTATGTATCTTTACAACATTCCCCAGGCCATCCATTCTGCAACCAGCCAGGTTTGCAAACTACTAGCCCAAAGCACCATATTAATGCCCAGGACCCCACCCAGATCTATTACATCAGAATCTCTGGGGGTGGGGCCTAGGCATCTACAAAACTCTTCAGGTGACAAGTGGAGCCAGGGTTGAGAACCCGGCATAATGCCTTCCATATAAATGCTATTATATATAATAGCTGAAGAAAAACTTCAGAGCATCAGAAATATCTACAAAAAAATTTCCTACAGATGGACAAGTTAATTGGGAGGCAAGGAGGTCTTTTCTGGCCCTTTAAACCAGACTACTGAAGAAGACAGACATATGTAATTTGCATAAGGCCAATCTTGAATACTTATTTTAAAAATTACTGTGTGAAACATCTGGAGCCAAAACGTCAAATGGCAAATGAATCCCAATGTCTTTTATTAAATCAAATGTGGCAGAGTTGATAATGTTTATGTTATCACTTACTTGTCATGAAGTAATGGTTTGTAAATGAGCGTTCCTATCTGCAAATGTATATACAGATGCTGTGGCTCGATCTGAGATCACGATAAATAGAGGACTAACGTATTACTTATCCTGTCACTTTTACTACTTGCAGGTTAGAATGTGGGTAAGGGAAACTAGAAGGGCGAAAGTGTGAAAAGACTACGCTGTCTAGGCAAAAAGAATAATTAATGTTTAGTTTTGTACAATTCATTATTCTAAAAGGCCACAAAATCTTCCAAATTTACTGTAGCACACCTATCTGCAAATAACACAAAAGCACAGTTATTTCTGGGTTCCCCTTTCTCTTCTAACCTACCTCAAAGACAAATTCTACTTTTTTTAGAATTTAAAATCATACAACACTTTGTTTACTTAAAACAATAATGCATTCATTTTGCTTAGAACTTATCTACTTATATATTTGAATAAATAATACTATCCATGTATATAGTACAAAAGGATATACAGTGAAAAATAAATCTCTCTTCTATCCCTTGTCCCAACACTGCATCAGTAGCAATCACTGTTACCAGTTTTCTGCAGGGCCATTTATTTTTGATCCCACATAAAGTTACAACAAAAGCAGAGGTTTTTAAATTTAAAAATCTTAAAAATCTCTTAATTTCCAGAGGATTATTTTATCTTTTAAACCAATTTCCTCTCAAGACACTTCTGATATAAACACTGGAGGGAAATAATTTTTATTTTACTCATATCTCATTTACTCATTTGCCAATTGGCATGTTCAAGTTTAGCCATAATCTGTTAGTCTATATGCATTTAAACTATTACTTATTTACAAATGAACATGTTTGCCTATGCTCTAAGAATTTCCATTTAATCAAGAATTAATACTACATTTTCTACATAAAATGATGACTTTTTGTACAGAGGTGTTAAATGATTACATCAAATAAATCTTACCTGCAGTTTTCTAGCACTTTGTTGTTGACGCTTGTCTTTCTCAATAATCTGCTGGTAGAGCCTAGCTCTCAACACACGCAAAGCTATTTCTTTATTTTTTATCTGTGATCGTTCTTGTTGGCATTCTACTACAAGCCCTGAAAAGCAACAGGGATCAGAGGTAAACTGTAGCCTCCACGAGCCAAAATAAGATAGAACTGAGATATTTTCTGATTAACTGAGGAAACAATCAGGAAAAGATCATAAAGGATTAAAAGCAGTTTAGATTTAGCACACTTCAGAAACTATATTTGGTTATGATGGTAATAGCGGTAGATGGCTATTTACATTCTGATATCTAAACAAGAAGTTTCAGAAGAGAAGACTGAAGGCAGCAATATCTGCATGCAGATGGTTACATCGTTTGATTCCCAGAGCTCTCCTCTCCATCCCAGCCCCTCCAGATACTTTCACAGCTCAACAAAAGCAAACTACTGCCACCCACTGTGCAGTCCTGCTCCACTCTCTGTTTTACTCAAGGAGAACTCAGCCCTTCCCCTTAAAGTCACAGATACACATGGAGCTGATGTTTTAAAAATGACTTTACATATAGAAACCAATGAAAAGAAACAACTCAAACTCTTTAGAAGGAAGAGTTTAACACTGAATGTTTCTCAGTTGTCTTGGTTCTAAATCCAGCTAATCAACACGTCCAACCACATACGTTTTGGTTAGCCAACTTCGGGATCTGAGTGGGTTTGGCCCACTGTGCAGCCCAGTTACTCGCCCAAATCTAGCCCTGAAATGCTGACCCTTGATATCAGATGTGTTCTTAACTTTGCAGCTCCCACTCTGAAGGTCTGAGTCCAGCTCTGCTTCCAGGTACATTAGCGGCGAAAGGTACTTTTCTTTCTGAATCACAAAACCCAAAAACCCTATTAGCTTAGGCCAGCTGCAATAATATGGTGGTAACTATTTTGCTGGAGATTTAAAAAATTTCTATCAAATTCTACTCCAAATTATGTTTCCTCCCTGTCTGAATAAGCTACAATCTACACCTGCTAATACTTTTCGTAGGGCACCTAGGTTTCACCTCTATTAGTTTAGACTTATTTCTTGACTGTTTTGCTGCAGCCACATGTTTGAGCTGGGGCACCAACTTGCTCACATCTTCCAGGCATTTGCCTGGAGCTCTCTTGAATCTGGTATCCTTTTTTTCACCACCCAAAGGAATATGAAAATTTCCATTTCCAGATGGCCAGACAGTCATAAGCTTTGTTTCAAATTCCTCTTCTTGTCAGCTGACCCATGCTGAATTTTGCCTAGACACCTGCACTATTCCTGTCCAGTGGCTCAAGTCAGAAATTTTAGCTTAAAACTCTTACCAGTTCAGTAATTCCTAAGGGAATTGCTTGATATTATATATACATATATTTTTTCTTTTTCTTTTTCCTTCTTCTCCCCAAAACCCCCAGTACATAGTTGTATATTTTAGTTGTAGGTCCTTCTGGTTGTGCTACGTGGAATACTGCCTCAGCGTGGCCTGACGAGCAGCACCATGTCCACGCCCAGGATCCGAACCAGTGAAACCCCGAGCCGTGGAACGGACTTCGAGAACTTAACCACTCGGCCATGGGCTGGCCCCCAATTATATATTTTAACACACTTTCTATAGGGGAGTATTTAATCATAAGTATTCCCTTAGACACAGAGGATAGGGAGGAAAAAGGGTACGTTGAATAATAGAAGAGCTGTTGAAACAAGGTGCTGGGGTTGTTAAAAAACTATAAAAGGGCTTTGGAAAAAAAGTTTTCTCAGTGTTATTTCAGTACTCTACAGGAGATTCCAAAATTCTACGTAGCAATAGTACCAAGTGGGTATTTAATATACATTTGCGGAATAACTAAATATATTATTTAAAATATTAGTGGTTATAAATGAGAACAAAAATATCATATTTTTATTCTAAAAAGCTCATTTAAAAAAATTTTTAACATCTCTGAAATTGGGATACATCTTACCATCATTGGAATATCATCGCTTAATTGGCAGTGATTTTTTATTCCTTCATAGTAATAAAATAGTGATGTGTCTTTCAATTGACACATTCTTAGGTTAAGGTTAGATCAAATAAGTTATACATAATCAAAGGCTAAATAAAAATTCTTTAACTTTAAAAGTGCAAACTGATGTAAAAGATTAAATCTGATGTGGAACAATTAGGTGTTATCCATAATCTATAATGATGAAGAAAGGCAGTCTAAGGATTACAGAGGTCCACATTCACTCACCAACGGGTAACAAACTAAAAAGCTACCTTTAAAGCACAAAATACTAATTTGTCTTCATTCTTGTTTTGAAAAATTTTACCAAAAAAAAGTAATTTTTCCCTGTATAAACATCTAACCATACCCCTACGGTACTACTCTTCCAATGGTAGAAAATGGAGTTACACAGAAGCAGTAGGTTAGAAAAAAAGTGATTCATCAGAGTCCATGTGCAAGGAGAAAATGGAAGAGCGACCTACAGCTCTCACTTTGAGTTGAAGCAGGAACATAGTTCCCACGCTAAGGGTTTTGGGATGGAAGAAATAGAAGAAAGGCTGAGTCTGCAGTGCTGTAGAGGCTGAAATCAGGGTAAACCTCAAAGTAAGAAGTAGACTCGAGAAACCACTTGCTCATAACTACGTGGATTCCTAAGAGTCAGCAGGCCTCGGCACGCCTCGCCTAAGAGGACTGTTTGAGGGTCAAGTTTCAGGCCTCTTTAAATCAAAGAACCAGATCTAAGTGGGTAAAAAATAAATTGGCCCAAGGTAAGTTTGGCAATACAAACATCAGTCACTTTTTGTAAAATCAGTAATTTATGGCGGCACAGGGTGGTTTTACATTCCTTCATTATGTTTTAAAGTATTTTGCTTCATTTTGTCAGAATTTTGGTCATCTTTTACCTTACTTTTTCTCAATTTAATTTTTAATTCTTCTTAAGCTAATTACTGTTCTGCTCTGCTTATAATATAGAATACAGTGTTTAGATGAAACACAACAAGTATCCCACAACTTGTGGATTTCTTAAGTAAATTATGGTAAGCTACAAAAATTATAACCTCATTTTTGGTGAAAAAGGATATATTTATATATGCATAGAAAAGAATTTGAAAGGATATGCACCAAAGATATATACCAACAATGATTACTAGGTATTGTTAAAGATGTTTTCTGCTCTTTTGCTCATGTATATATTCTAAGTTTTTACAGTTTCTTATGGAATAAAAATCCACAAAGAAAACTTAAGACAAATTATAAAATTATCCTATTGTTGGATATTTAGGTTGTTCTAACTTTTGCTATTGTAAACAGTACAAGAAATAATAATTGGCTGGAAATGAATTTAAAATTGATACCTGATTTCAAGATGGCCTCCTCTTTCTTTTAAAAATCACACTAAAACAAGAACAAAAACTCCATCTGAAATAACATGAGGTGATGTATGTAGTCCCCAAACACAATATATAAAGACAGAAAGTGAACGAAAGAATAGCAGACGACTTAGCAGAGCAGGAAGGTGAGACCAGCTCCCTGTAGTGGGAGATGCCATCCATCTGCCCTGCTGAGCACCACAAAGGCTCAGGAATTGAGGCGCTGGCTACTTCAGAAGTCGAGGCTGATGATTCGGGGGCTAAAAACAGACAATCTATATAATAAGCAGATCTTCGAGTCCCCTCCCTCAATCTGTAGGAGGCAGGAGGTATAGTCTTTAGAGAACTAAATAAGGAAAGTCCCCGACTTGAGACTAGGTTCAAAGGAGGGCAAATGTGAGGTATGGGCCTGAAAACAAGAGGACTAAGCAAAGTTTGCTTACTGAATGGTGAGACCTTGACCTCACTCTCAGATGTAGGCTGGAGGATCCTTCTCCGGGCAAACAAACTCCCCAAGAGAAAAGATCTGCAAACACTGACATTTGGGGGTCCCTAATAAAAAAGCTGATTACTCATCTAACTGCCCTACAGTTGAAACTTACCAGTGGATAACTGGCACCCATGCACTCAGAGCTTTCAGAATCTCACTCTCAAATATATACACACAGCCAAGGATTCCTAGACATTTCCAACATGGAAGCAAGACCGAAACAAACAGAAGAAATAAACTCAGAGAAAACAGAGATGTTGCAAAAAGCAGAAGAAAACCTCAGGGAAACTAAAATGAATATCCTTGAGCAATAAAAGAAGAAATATGCATCAACAAAACAAAAGGATGCTAAGAAAAGGGACACAGTGAAAATAAGAAAGGGCTCTTGAAAAATTTTGTTAAAAAGAATACATTTTAAAAATTCAATGAAAGAGTTGGAAAAAGAACTAAAACATAAAGTGAAAGACCATGTAAGAGAAAAAAGAAGAAAATTATACAATGAATCCAAAAGGTCTAACATCTGACTAAGAGAAATTCCAGGAAGAAAAAGGAAAATGGTAAGAAATTCTTGAAGAAAATATTTCAGAAGTGAAGAGCATGAGTCTCCAAATTGAAAGAAACAAATGCAATGGAGGACAAAAGCTTTAAACGTTACACGTGGAAACGATTTTCAACAAGTGTTCACGATCAGTGAAGTATGAAGCTAGAATAAAGCTATTTTCAGATATACAAAGTCTCAAAATATTTATGTCTCACGCACCTTCTCTCAGGAAGCCACTTAAAGGTGAGCTTTGCTAAAATGAGGGAGTAAACTAAGACAGATGATATGGGATCTAAGAAACAGGAGGCTCAAACACAGAATAGAGATGAAGGGAACTCCCTGACTGTTGGTGACCAGGACCACCTCTGCGCGGCAGCCCTGGAGAGCAACCCATCCATAATAATGGAGTGTTCCATCAGAGGTGTCGCCACAAAGCCTCAGCCCTGTAGAAAATTGAGTTAATTTCATTTTATAGAGCTTTTGGAAAATGTAGGAAGACTTAGAATCAAAGAAAACTAAGCAAATAAAAAAATGAGGTAATTACTAACTTTAGGAAATGAAATCACAGTATACTACTTGACTCAACAGTGAACACTATTTACCTGCTCATTATGTAAAAACAGTGAAGATTAATTTTGCCCAAACATAAATACATTAGGAAGAGGATATTATAAGAGAGCCAAAATCTTCATCTACTACGTTAAAAAGTCAATATATAATCTTATAATTAATTGATTGGAACAGTACTATCTGCCTGTTATTTAGAAATACTGCAGTAATTACCAGAAAAAGAATAGCTAAGAGTTTAAAGGAGCTGCCTCTGGGTAACTGGAATTTAGGGTTGAGGAAGGAGGGATGGGGAGGAGGAAGACGTCTAGCGAGCTGCTGTTTTTTGCTATAGGACGTTATCACTGGACTTTTAAAATCATATACATGTAATGTAAAAATTAATTTAAAAAGAAAAGAAATAAAAAAAAGTTTAAAAATCTGAAAAATGACAGAAATACTTATTGCATTGAGGACTGCAAAACTCTCACAGTGTACCAAAATTACCAACATTCAAAATAACAGCAGGAATGCAATGGAGCTGGCAGTCAATCTACAAGGTGACAGAAGATCCCTGGCAGTGGCACGTCCAATATTACTTTTGCATTTCATTTGTTTTTAGGGTGGAGCACGTCTGGTTGCACACTCTTGTCCAGTACACCTGGACAGCTTCTCTGAACAGGTCTGCATCCTTTGAGAGAAGTACCTTTTCCAAACAGATGGAGAATATAAACACACAGGGGACCTCAGACTCATAACCCCAGTGTCACCTTTAAAGGGTTTGTGCAAGGAACCAGACACTAACATAGGACTATTTCCTTCTAAACGCTGAACAGTTTTATAAGATGTGAAAAAAAGTTAAAAGTATAAAAGCAAAGGGACTTGCTTACCTGTGGGGACATGCACAAGTCTGACAGCACTATCAGTTGTATTAACATGCTGCCCTCCTGCTCCTTTGGCTCGAAATGTATCTATTCGCAAATCCTTGGGGTCCACTTTCACATCTACCTAGAACAAAATGTATAACATAAGTAAATTCTACACTCAACAAATACTTCGAATACTAAATTTATTCCAAGATTTTTCAAATAAACTGTACTGTTTTGTATTAAGATAAGTCATAGCCATTAGACTAAGAGGTGAAATATCTTATACCAAAGAAAGGACCATAAACTCCCTATTCCAATGGATGCTATTTTTTAACACTGACTCATGATGCTATGAGATGACTGAGTTATGAGATCTTTCAAAGTTTCATCATCCATCATCCCACAAAGCTACATTAGATGCAAAATAAACAAAATATATATATGTATGTAAGTATATATACTCATTATTCCCTGATCCTGTATTTGCAAATTCACCTGCTTACTAAAATTTATTTGTTCCCTCAAATCAATTATTGCAGCACTTTCACAGTCATTTGCAGACACGCACAAAGCAGCAAAAATTCCAATTGCTCTACAGGGGCATGTTTCCAGCCAAGGTCAAACAAAGTGACAGTCTGCTTTCTTGTTTCAGCTCCTACAAAGATGAGCAGACGATGAAGACAGGAGGGTGCAGAGCAGCATAGTGCAAGAAGTCCCAGCTCGGGGGCCAGCTGGATGGGGTCTGAATCCCAACTCTGGCACCTGTTAGGAAGGCAGCCTCAGGCAAGTCACTTAACACTTCTCAATTCCATTTTCTCTTTTGTAAAATAAAACAGAATCTACTAGGGTGAGTTGTTTTTAGGATTTAAGATTATAATCTATATGATTATATATACATAATTTTTTCCCTCCTAGGAGAAATAGTTCAGTATTCACTAAATCACTGTTTGCTATGACTTCATAGAACCTAACTACTGCGAATAATGATAATTCATTGCGTGCACGTGCATGTGCATGTGTGTGTGCATGCCTTTATTAGTGGACTGAGCAGAGACACCCAAAAAGACATGTTCTTGCTCTAACCACTGGAACCTTATTTGGAAAAAGGGTTTTTGCAGATGTAACTGAGTTAAGAAGAGATTATCCTGGATTATTCGGATAGGCCCTAAATCCAATGACAAGTGTCCTTATAAGAGATACCTAGAGGAGAAAGAAGAGGAGAAGACCATGTGAATTCGTAGGCAGAGATTGGAATTGTACAGCTTTAAGCCAAGGAACACCTGGAGACACCAGAAGCTGGAAGAGGCAAGGGAAGATTCTCTCCCAGAGCCTTTGGAGGGACCATGGCCCTACCAATACTTTGATTTTGGACTCCTGGTATCTAGAACTGTGAGAATAAATTTAAAGTTTGTGGTAATTTGTTATGGCAGCTTTAGGACATTTTCTTCTCTCTCTCTCTCTATACACACACACAAACATATATATATATAAACAAATAGTGATAAAATAGCCTGTTTTTGAGGGGACATTTAAAATTTTTCCCCATATTTATCATTTATTATGGGATATCTAATTATACTAGAAAGCAAGGACACACTCAAAGACTCATGGGGTCAATTTCAAAATAGGTTACCCCTAAAAGGCTACTACTGGCCAAATCTGAGACAATTTGAACATCAAAAACAATAGTGCTTATAACTCACTGAATTTAAAAAATAAATCCATATGTCTATAATAAGGTCAATATATGAAACTCAATATATGAGTTTATAATGAGGTAAAATAAAAGAGAAAGAAAGCAAAAAGCAAGGAGGAGAGAAGGTAGTGGAGAGGAAAGTATTCTACAGAAAAGAATGCCAGTTGGGGCTGGCCACGTGGCCGAGTGGTTAAGTTCGCGCGCTCCGCTGCAGGCAGCCCAGTGTTTCGTTGGTTCGAATCCTGGGCGCGGACATGGCACTGCTCATCAGACCACGCTGAGGCAGCGTCCCACATGCCACAACTAGAAGAACCCACAACGAAGAATACACAACTATGTACCGGGGGGCTTTGGGGAGAAAAAAGGAAAAAATAAAAAAAAAAATTAAAAAAAAAAAATTAAAAAAAAAAAAAAAAGAAAAAGAAAAGAATGCCAGTTAATACATGTACAAGGAATGATAGAATTAGAAAATCACCATCTTGCAACCTGAAACTAAGTAACTGATTCAGGCAAAGATAATGGATGGATGTTAAAACCGTGGAAGAAAAGTGTTGGGAAGAGGATATATGTACCCTAGAGATTACTTAGTAATTGCAAAGGGAAAAAGCTACTTTCAAAATACACATATTTTTGTGGTCACCATCTTAACTAAATGCTCAAACTAATCCTCACTAGAAGTGGGACAATCGGATATTATGTGCCTTCTGGTAAGATGCAACATGAATATAACTACCCCTATAAAGTATTCCTGCTCAAAACGCGTAAACTGAATGGAACGGAACATTTACATACAACTTTCAATATAATATAGGGGATAAAGGAACAAGTTAAAGAGTACCATGAAGAAACAACCAGATGGATCCAGAATATGGGACAGTCTACAAGACAAAGGGCCTAGACTCTTCAAAAAGTCAACGTCATTAAAAAAAAATGTTGGGGAGCCAGCCCTGTGGCCAAATGGTTAAGTTCATGTACTCCACTTCGGCGGCCCAGGGTTTTGCTGGTTCGGATCCTGGGCACGGACATGGCACCACTCGTCAGGCCACACTGAGACAGCGTCCCACACGCCACAACTAAAACATACAACTATATACTGGAGGGACGGGGGGAAAAAAAGCAGGGAAAAAAAAGGTCGGCAACAGTTGTTAGCTCAGGTGCCAATCTTTAAAAAAAGAAAAAAAAGAAAAAGGTTGGGAAACTGTTCTAGACTTAAAGAGATCTAACAACTAATTGCAATGTGTGAAACTTGATGGGGTTTTGGTTAAACAAAAGCTATAAAAATATTTTGGGGATAAGTGGGGAACTATAAAATGGACTAGATATTGGATAATTGTGATATCGTCATTTATAATAAGAAACATAAATTTGGTCTTCATCCAAATGAAGCTTTGGTACAGAGCTTTGGTACAGAGCTCCTAAAACCCTCAGGATTTCCTGAGTGATAAGAGAGAAAAGCTGTCTTCTGTTATTCATAACAGGTCCCTTTCCACTGCACTTGAGTTTATGTTAATGAAGTGACTTTTGGAAAGCCCCAGATAACCCAAAGGATGGGGGTTAACTGCCAGGGAAACCAACCATGGGATCAGAGGGTCAGAACTTTCAGCTCCAGCCCCCACCCCCAAACCCCCAGGGAGGAGAGCAGGGCTCAAGGCTGAATTAATCCCCAACACCCAATGATTTAATCAATCGTGGCTATGTGTGAAAGCCTCCATAAAACTCCTAAAAGTACAAGGTTCAGAGAGCTTCCAAGGCTGGTGAACATGTGGCAGTGCTGGAAGCACGACAAGCCTGGAGAGGGCATGGAAGTCTGCACCTCTTCCCACATATTTGTCCTATGCAACTCTTCCATCTGGTTATTCCTGAGTTGTATCCTTTATAACAAACCATTAATCTAGTAAGTACAATGTTTTCCTGAGTTCTGTGAGCCACTTTAGTAAATTATCAAACCTGCAGGGGGGATCGTGGGAACCTCTTGATTTACAGCCAAATGGTCAGAAGCACAGGTGACAAGCTGGACTTGCGATGGGTCTCTGAAGTGGGAGGGAAGGCAGTCTTCTGGGACTGAGCCCTTAGCCTGTGAGATCTAAGGCTATCTCCAGGTAGACAGTGTCAGAACTTAGTTGAATTGTAGGACACCTACTTGGTGTCCATAGAGAACTGAAGAATTGTTTGATGGGGGAAAAAAACTCCACACATGGAGTATAGAAGTATTCTGTGAGTAGACAGAACACACAGGAGGGTTTCCTAAACAATAATATTACAGAGTTATGATTGATCTTCATAGACCATTGTATGGAGTTTATGTAGGAGAATGTCCTATTCCCAGCAGACGTAAGCTGAAGATTTGGGGGTAAAGTCTCATAGTGTCTGCTATATCCTTTATAGGTCACTTAAAAAATGTATATACAGGCTGGCCCGGTTGCCCAGTGGTTAAGTGCGAATGTTCCGCTTTGGTGGCCCAGGGTTCGCCGGTTCGGATCCCGGGTGCAGACATGGCACCGTTTGGCAAGCCATGCTGTGGCAGGCGTCCCACATATAAAGTGGAGGAAGATGGGCATGGATGTTAGCTCAGGGCCAGGCTTCCTCAGCAAAAAGAGGAGGATTGGCAGCAGTTAGCTCAGGGCTAATCTTCCTCAAAAATAAATAATTAAAATAAAATAAATAAATAAATAGAATGTATATACAGAGCCAGCCCCAACAGCCTAGTGGTTCAAGTTCGGCACGCTTCGCTTTAGTAGCCCAGGTTCAGTTCCCAGGCACAGAACCATAGCACTCATCCGTTAGCGGCCATGCTATGGCAGTGGCTCACGTTAAAAAAAAAGAAAGAGAGATGGGGGCTGGACCTGTGGCTGAGTGGTTAAGTTCTCACGCTCCACTACAGGCGGTCCAGTGTTTCGTCAGTTCGATTCCTGGGCCTGGACATGGCACCGCTCATCAAGCCATGCTGGGGCGGCGTCCCATATGCCACAACTAGAAGGGCCCACAACTAAGAATATGCAACTATGTACCGGGGGGCTTTGGGGAGAAAAAGGAAAAAAATAAAATCTTTACAAAAAAAAAAAGAGAAAGATTGGCAACGGATGTTAGCTCAGGGTGAATCTTCCTCAGGAAAAAATTAAAATAGAAAAATAAAAAATATATATAAACACACATCTATAGTAATCTAGCAAATGTGGCAAAATGTAAACAATCGTTGACTCCAGGTGAAGGTTACAGAAGTTTTCAGTGTGGTATTCTTTCAACTTTCTGCATGTTTAAAATTTTTTTTAAAAACGGTTAGGAAAAAGAAAAATATGGGGAATACGGCTGTATTGAATTAATACAATATAGATCCCATATGGATATTATATCACTGACTTCAAAATATTATTTGTGGAATTCATTTTGTTTCCTAAGATAAAACTTAGGGAACCACATTTTAAAAGTGTCATGGATTCTGTTTTATGAAGAGAAGTCATTTCTATTTAAAATAAAACAAAACATCTTGCTCAGGGATAAGAAGGGCAACTCTACCTGGGGAAGAGGTAAGGATTTCTGGCTAGAGTCTGTGAAGTTCACTCTGCAACCCTGGAAATCACAGATTTTCCTGGAAGCTAAGGCTTCTCAGCACAACACCCATTTATCAGACAAGTGCGTTTGCAATGTCTCTGGGGGAGGTTACCTCATCTGGTTGAGGGAGGACAATAACTGACATTGTTCCTGTGTGAATGCGCTGCATCCTTGACGACAGGCCCACCTCAGGGATCCGCTGAACTCGGTGAATCCCACCTTCATACTTCAAATGCTTATAGACACTGTCCCCGGAAATTCGGGCAGCCGCATGATGTAGCCCACCTAGGAAAAAAAACCAGCCGGAAACATTAATGAACTCTACTCTGAAAGGGATCCGGGTCTTAAATGCCCTCAATCTATGGCTCGAATGTGAGTACAGAACCTAAGTTGCAATCACATAGAAGGGACAAAACTAGATTTTCCCAATGTAAGTGTATTAATACATAAAAGGAAACACATCAAAATATTATTTATGGTTATCTCTGGTGAACAGAATAACAGCATATTTTTTATTTTACTTTTTTTACTCCTTTTGTTTCTAAATTATCTATAAAGAACAAATTTTAATTTTATAAAAACACTATTAGAAAAAAAGGAATACTAGGATGTTTTCTGCATTGAACTACTGTATGCAATCTTAGGCTAATATGGTGCCATATATAAAAGAATGATCAATAATATAATACTTTGATAATGATAAATAACTATAGATCCTCTCAAGTTTTAAAAAAATTCATTGAAATTTAGCTCTCTCTTATCTGTGGAACAGGAAGATAAGCACAAAAAATCTTAATGCCTAGGCTAGCTTCTTATCAAACATTAAAAAAATTTTTTTTATTATAAAATAATATACAGACATAGAAAACTACATGAGTCAAATGTATGGCTTAATGACCACAAGATCAAGAAAAAGAACTCTGGGGCTGGCCCTGTGGCCGAGTGGTTAAGTTCGCACACTCCGCTACAGGCGGCCCAGTGTTTCGTTGGTTCGAATCCTGGGCGCGGACAGGGCACTGCTCATCAAACCACGCTGAGGCAGCGTCCCACATGCCACAACTAGAAGGATCCACAACTAGAATATACAACTATGTACTGGGGGGCTTTGGGGAGAAAAAGGAAAAAATAAAATCTTTAAAAAAAAAGAAAAGAAAAAGACTTCTGTCAGTCATCCCAAACCTTCCCCACCCCTTCTAATGAGTAACTAGTATCTTGACTTTTCTTTCCTTATTATAATTTTATTACCTAAATGTGCTTCCCTAAGCATTACAGTTTAGTCTTGTCCATTTAAAAAAGTTTGATATGTCTTTTTTTTTTTTTAAAGATTGGCACCTGAGCTAACAACTGTTGCCAATCTTCTTTTTTTCTTTTCTGCTTTTTCTCCCCAAATCTCCCCAGTACATAGTTGTATATTTTAGTTTTAGGTCACTCTGGTTGTACTGTGTGGGATGCTGCCCCAGCGTGGCCTGATGAGCGGTGCCATGTCTGCACCCAGGATCCGAACCAGCGGAACCCCGGGCCATGGAAGTGGAGCACTTGAACTTAACCACTCAGCCATGGGGCCCACCCTGATATGTCTTTTAAATCTCTTAATCTATAGGTTCATCATCCATCTCTTTTGTTTCCTACAAATTATATGTTGAAGAACCTGGGCTGTTGATCTGCAGAATTTCTCACAGTCTGGTTTTGCTGATTACGTACTTTTGGCACAATTCGACCTGTTCTTCTCCCCTCTGTACTGGCTGCAATTTAGCAGCTGGATCCAGAGACTGGAGCAGACACCAACTTGAGCTCCTTCACAAGACTGCAGGAGGCATGTAATGTCTGGTTATCTCTCTTTCTATGGGCTTGACAGCCTTTGATGCGTAACGTATCATGGGGGTTATAAAATAGTGGTAGTCTAATTCTATCATTTTTCTCACTTATTAGTTAAAATACATTTATAAAGAGACATTTCCCTTTGTCTACTATTTGATTACCCAGTGATACAGTTATGTAGGAAAGGCAGGATAAATGCTTGATTCTGTCCCTTCACCGGTTTTACCAATATATATTGTTTGCCATATAATGAATTGGGGTCCTTTTAATCCTCTGAAGATGACCAATTATTTTTAAAAATATCATTATGAACTCAAGGATGTGAACACATCTAGCATGTTTAAATCAATTGTAATTATTATTATTGAAGCTGAACTTGACCCATCTTTGGCCAGTGGGAGGCTTTTCAAGTTAATTTCTGAGTTTTCTGACATGCCTCTTGTTATGGCATAAAAAGATTTTCCAGGATTATCTTGAACATTTCTTGCTCTGACCTGGAATCAGCCATTTCTCCAAGAAGCCCTGCTTCCTTTCAGAGAGAAATAATATTTCACTATTTGGTGCTAGGGATGTTCACTACTGCTGAGTTGGTCATTGTTTCTAGGCCTTTTCAGCAGACAGACATAGGAAATACCTCATGAGTTCATACTGATGCTGAGACACAATTTCTTGTGTTTCTGTACATCTTGCAAATAAGGCACTTCCTGCCCCTTTGTTCCAGACTATCTTTTTTAAGGGTGTCTGTATAGTGAACAGCTTTGGAGAAATGTCTCCCTCCAGAGCAAAAGACAAGTTTGTTTCCAGCCTTGGAAGATAGCATCGTCTTCTAGAGCAATGGACAGGCATGCTTACTGCCCATTAAAAAAGAATTGAGTGGCTGGCCCTGTGGCCGAGTGGTTAAGTTTGCGCGCTCCGCTGCAGGCGGCCCAGTGTTTCGTTGGTTCGAATCCTGGGCGCAGACATGGCACTGCTCATCAAACCACGCTAAGGCAGCGTCCCACATGCCACAACTGGAAGGATCCACAATGAAGAATATACAACTATGTACTGGGGGGCTTTGGGGAGAAAAAGGAAAAAAAAAAAATCTTTAAAAAAAAAAAAAGAATTGAGATCCCTAAACTCAGGGTTATTCTCCTGTAATGAAACCTACTGTGTGGGCTGGTATCATCTGGCCTTCTTCGAGTTGCCTTGTGGGACTTGGGCTTCATGGAACCAGCACAAAAATGCTGATATTCTGGTTATTGCTACTACTGTAATTTACTGTCTTTTGTCTCCAACCCATGAAACTGCTGCACGCTAACTTTTTAGCTTGCAAGTAGGGTAAAATCTTAACCATTCACAGTTCTTGACAATTGATACTTCAAATGTAAATTCAAGATTACAACCTCTTCTCTTTTACTCTTGCATCTCTTGATTTTCAGACAGAGAGGATACCAGAATTAGAATATCCCATAATTACTCATCTGTTTTATCCCATATGACACATACTGCAGTCTCAGAATAACAACACTAGGTCTACCACCAATGTGATTACCAAAAACATTAACACTTTTTTGCATATGTTCGTCTCATTCTCCCCCCATTTTTTAAATGGTTGTTCTCTATCTATACCGTCAGATCTTACAGTCTTTATATAATGTATTCTTTCTCTTAGCTCTCAATTATTCCTAATTCTTTACATAACCACATATTTAATGCTCACCTCCACTTCTTATGTTGATACCTCATATTTTAATGGTCTGAAGTTTTGTTTTCTAGTAGATTCCTCAGAAAGGGATCGTAGGAAGAGTATGTCCTGAATTCTTATGTATTTATAACAGTTTGTACCCCTATACTTATAAGTCAGTTCTGTTGATCATAAAATTCTTAACTCAAATTTTCTTTCCTTGAATGAACTTCATCTCTTTCTGGCACAAAGTGTTACTATTGAAAAGCCTGATGAAAATCTCATTTTCTTTCCGTTACAAGTCACAGGCTCTTTTTGTCTCCACGTCTAATAGATTTTTTTCCTTGTATTTTTTAAAGTCCAATAATTTTATTAGAATATGATTTCGTATTGTCATTCTGGCTGGAGATCTTCATACATGTTCTTTAAACATGTGGCTTCACATCTTTTTTTTTCCTATTTCTGAAGAATGTTGTTGAAATATGTTAGTACCAGCGGTAGGCAGCCTCAAAGACAGCCCCCATGAGCCCTGCCTCCTGCTGTTCACACACTTGTAGCTCCCTCTCCTGGTCCGTATGATGCATAGCAGACGGGAGACTTGGTACAACTTCTGAAATTAGGTTACAAAGAACCATGGCTTCCCTATTGAGAGTTAACTTCCTCTCTCTCTCTCACATCACTCACTCTGGGAGAAACAGGCTGCCGAGTTGTGAGCAGCCCTATGGAGAAAGCCTATATGATGAGAAAATGAGGTCTGCCAACAACCAAGCGGGCTTTCAAACACACCCTTAAACCCCAGTCAAGTGTTGGGATGATTACAGCCCCAGCGAACAGCTTGACCTCAATTTCACGAGACCCTGTACCAGAACCTCTCAGGAAAGCTGCCACCCAAATCCTGACCTTCAGAAATTGTGAGATAAAAAAACTTTGTTGCTTTAAAGCTGCTAAGTTTTGGTAATTTGTTACACAGCAATACATAACATACAGTATCTTCTCTGATTCTTTTCATCACGTTATCAATCTTCTTGGCCTATCTTCATATCATTTTCTTTGACTCCTTTTTACTTTTCTTCATTTCTTTTTCTTTTTTTGAGGAAGATTAGCCCTGAGCTAACATCTGCTGCCAATCCTCCTCTTTTTTTGCTGAGGAAGACTGGCCCTGAGCTAACAGCCATGTCCATCTTACTCTACTTCACATGTGGGACGCCTGCCACAGCATGGTTTGACGAGCAGTGCCATGTCCGCACCTAGGATACAAACCCGTGAACCCCAGGCTGTCAAAGCAGAACGTGCAAACTTAACTGCTGCACCACCGGCCTGGCCCCTCTTCATTTCTTTTTGATTCTAAAAAGATTTCCTCTTTTTGACTACTATTTTCTTAAGGCATTATCCGTTCCGTTTATCTGCTCATATGTTCCTTCTGATTTATTCTTCATTTCTGAAGTGATTCTTCTTCTATTTCTAATTCTTTCCTGAGTCTATCACTTCATTTCTAATCCTGATCTATGGGGTTCTTTCATATCTTGTATTGTTTTCTCACTGCTTCTAACTGTGAGAAGAAACAGTCTTATAGTCAGATCTAACCTACTTGGTTTCCAAAGTCAACATGTTAGACAAAAATTACACATAGTTTTCGATTTCCCTAGAAACTGCCCTAGGAAGGTATCTTTATCAGAGACTGATGTACTGTCTCCTAATAACGTCCAGCACAGCCAGTCTTCCTCCAGCAACGGAGCAGACTACTGTCTATTTTCCTGAATACCAGAAAAAGAAGCTGGCATGCATTTAGGGGTCAGATGATACAAAAAAATCACTTATTTCCCACTCACAGTTTAGTAAGATGATCATATTATGAAAAATAACCAGGAACTGAGACTGAGTGAGACCACAATTTAAACATCCCATCTTACATTCATTCTCTACTTTTAAAATTATTCCTCCTACCCCCTTTACTTCATGTTGAGCATAAATATTTGAATTTATGTGAGCTGAAAAGAAGAAGGCTGCAACTTTACTGTATAGAATAAGAGAACCAGTCTTAGGCTGCCTGAGTTCAAATTCAAGCTCTACCTCTTCCTAGCTGTGTGTCCACAGGCAAGTTACTTAACTTGTCAATGCTTTGGTTTCCTTATTTGTAAGTGATCATAATATATAACTTGAGCTACAGCACTGCACACCTGAAGGGGGAGCCATTCATACTGTAGATTATGTGAGTAATGCTTCAAGCCTCATGTAAGCATATGACATAGCCCTGAATTCAACCTACTCTCCAAGGATGGTCGTGAGGAGTAACTGTGATAAACACTTGTAGAGCATTTAGTGGTGCTGACACTTAGCTGTCAACAAGTATCAGTGGTAACTGGATGTACACCATCAGTTCTCCTGGCCCAGTACGACATCTTGTGGAAGGGAAAGACATCAAGATCCCTCTGAACTAAATTATTACACAGGGCTGGAGAGCTGATATAACTCAGGTAGAACAGTGAAGCTATGAAAGCAAACTGTTTCTGGTGGGCCTTATTGATAGGTATGGAGAAAAAAGCATTTGTCAGATCAATAACTGCATTCCAGGAAGCAGGCGGTGTTAATTTGCTCAAGCAATGAAACCACATCTAGTACGGCAGCTGCAAGCGGAGTCACCACCTGGTGAAGTTTACAGTTACCCACTGTCATTCTCCAAGACCCATCTATCTTCTGCACGGGCCCAGTCGGTGAGCTGAATGGGAATGTGGCGGGAATCAGCATCCCTGCATCTTTCAAGTCCTTGATGGTGGAACTAATCTCTGTAATCTCTCCAGGAATGTGGGATTGCTTTTGGTTTACTATTTTCCCAGGTAGAGGCAGTTCTAGCAGCTTCCATTTAGCCTTTCCTACCATAATAGTCTCTGCTCCACAGGTCAGGGAACCAAATGTGGGGATTCTGCCAGCTGCTGAGTATATCTGTTCCAATTACACATCCAGACCTGGGGAAATAACTACGTGATGGGTTCAAGGACCCACTGGGCCCACTGTGAGACAAACCCGAGCTAAAACTTCATTGATCATCTGACCTCCATAAGCCCCTACTCTGACTGGCAGACCACAGAGATGTTTTGGGTCTCCTAGAGTTAGTATCAATTCAGGGCCAGTGTCCAGTAGTACCTGAAAGATATAATTATTCCCTTTTCCCCAAGGCACAGTTACCCTGGTAAAAGACCAGAGGCCCCTTTGGGGAAGACTAAGAGAAAGATTAACAGCATAAATTTTGGGGAGTGTACCGGGTTCCTGAAGGGGACATGGCCTTCCCCTCATTCAAGGGGTTTTGGGGTCTACAAACTAGCTCAAGACCAGGAATTGATTGAGGGACCACGACTTCTGTTCTTATGATAGAGGTTACACTTTTGTTCACTTGACCTAGAACTTTCCTGCTTACACAGATCAAGTAAGAACGTAGCAGGCTCCCATTTTACTTTACTTCTAAGGACACCATGATCAACCAGCCCACATCCTAAGTCTACGCAAGTCAGACTCTTCTGACTGCCGCTTTGACTCTGCTGTCCATTACGGTAACCATGCCCATCTTGCCCTTGAATGTTGAGTGCCATCACTTGGCCCCTGCCACCCTGAGATCCAATTATTCCCATTCCCTTTAGATTTCCAATTCAGTTACCAGAGTTCCCATTGTAAGGTCTGGCCTACAGAGAAGAGTGATCACAGAGCTCTGCAAGCATGCTGGGGCTCCTCTCACAAATTTATTTCTCACAGTTGTGGTGAAAAGTATGTCTTCTGGACACATAAAATTAATCATCACATTACTTTAAGTGACCTCTCCCTGAATTCAACTGGTGAGCAGAGAATAATAAAATATAATTATAAAGATTAATTTGTTGGGAGGGAGGAAATAATCTAACACATTTCATAGAATCCCTTTAACTTGGAAAATATATCAGTTCATTAGATAGCAGGTATACAGAATAACACGTCAGACCTACACTCCATATCAAGAGCCATCATCCCGCACTGCTTCCACAAAGACGACGTTGTAAACATTTAGTTTGAACTATTTATGTAATGGTTGAGTATCGTCCCTGTCTGTACCTATAGTCACAAAACTGCAAGACTTTAAGTCACTTGATGTCTGAATTTTTGCACGAAAGCATGTTTCTTTTCAATCTTAGTTTTCAGTGCTATGTGAATCTCTGTGGAGTTCCTCTCTGTGAGTTCCCAGCTATTTCAATTAAACATAGAAAAAGATATCATTTAATATACATATTTTATAAAGTAGATACTTTTTCCCTTTCTCTATTTTAGTCTTTTTCTATCCACATCTTTTTCTTTTCCTGATATAAATAATAAATCAATTTTTAAAAATTATTTTACAATTTTAATGAATAGAGGTTTATTCTTAGTCTTTCATTTTAAAGGTATATGAGTGAAATATTTAAAATTTTTCTTTAAAAAAAAGGGATTTTTACTTTTTAAAATATCTTTATTTTATTTTGCCAGTGAGTCAGTATATCTAAAAGAAAAGTTTCCCAACCACTGTTTAGCCTACTCTACACACCTGGAACAGAAGCTCTCTTCCTAAGTTCATCTCCCTTTCATTCTTGAAAGTCAGATTCAAAATATACATCTTAGAGGTCACTGACATTTCCCACTATTCTTTTTTATAATAATAAAACGCTGCTGTTTCTGATTATATTCCCCTTAAACTCTCTCCTGTTTCCATAATGGTATACTGTCCTCATCCTTTTTCTGCTTATCTGACTCTTCTTTTTCTTTTGCCAACTAGTCTATCTTTCTAAATGTGGCCACTCTCCAAGGTTTGGTGCCCTGAATGTTCCCTCTCTACGCACTCTCCCTCACTCTCTCAGTATCAGACATTATCTCTGTGCTAACAGCTATCAAATATTTCTCCTCAATTCTGTTCTTTTGCCAAAGCTCTGGTTACACAACTTAAGCATTTACTGGATATTTCTCAATGGATGCTCACTATAACCACACACTTCATAATTAAAAAACCACATATCATTATTCTTCCTAAATGGGCTTTGCCTTCCAATTTCTATTCCATTCAATGGCAGGAATGAATATCACAATCTTCCTGGCTAGAAAGATGAGAAGCCCTGTGGCTCATCTCCTTTGTGTCAGAATAGATTAATGAGATGTAGTGTGGCTCTGGATCAGACAGACTTAAATTTAATCCCAGGATTTCCATTACTTATTGTGTGATTTTGGATTAGTGACTTACTCTCTAAATCCAGACCCGCATGTGTAAAATGGGATTAATAATATCTATTTCACAGGGTTGTAGGTCAAATAACTCTACTGCACACAGGACACAGTGGGCAAGCAATAGCTTCTCTTGTATCCAGTCTGCAAATTTTGCCCATTCTTCCTTTGAAGGTCTCTCACATGTCTCCTTACTCCCAATTCTAACTCTCAGTCATATCTGGATTACCCTACTCACCTCTTAAATGGAGCCACTTCAATCCATCCTTCATACTGTTGTCAAAATAATCTTCTTAAAATATATATTTATCAAGTCATATTCTTACTAATAAAATCCACAACATCTTCCTATTCCCTAACAGTCAAGCTCTGTTCAGCTTTCAAGGCTGTTCAAATGCCACCAGTTCAAGCCTATTTCCTACCACTTCCCATCACAAATAGGCTCTGGGTAAACTGGCTTCCTCATGGTCCTACACACACTAAGATCTTCCCTACCACCATGCTGTTGCTCAGGTTGTTTCTTCCCTTTGCTCTCATTGATGGTCCCCTTTCCTGACCACTGGCAATGTTTAATATCTGTATCAAGTGCAACTTACTTATGCTGTATACTGGTTTCCATGTCCCTCTATTGTTTAACATACCTTAATCCTCAATCCCCACTTTGATAGTTTGTGGTTTATTATTGATGACCCCCCTGTCTACTACAGCATATCACTATGTAACTAAGCAGATAAAAACTTTCAGATGGGGGCTGGCCCCGTGGCCGAGTGGTTAAGTTCGCACGCTCCGCTGCAGGCGGCCCAGTGTTTCGTTGGTTCGAATCCTGGGCATGGACATGGCACTGCTCATCAAGCCACGCTGAGGCAGCGTCCCACAGGCCACAACTAGAAGGACCCACAACTAGAAGGACCCACAACGAAGAATATACAACTATGTACCGGGGGGCTTTGGGGAGAAAAGGGAAAAAAAATAAAATCTTAAAAAAAAAAAAAAAATTTCAGATGGATTAAAAGAATCGAACAAAAAACAGAATTACTATTAGATGTTCTGCTTTAAGATACTTGGGTATTTAAAAGTTTAAGGACTTGCATCAGTTGTTATTTTTTATGTTGTACAAGTTTTTAGCAGCCCAAATAGAGTGGATTCTTCTTGAAAATAAAGAAAAATGATTAACTTTTTCTGCATTCTCATAAAAATCTAGCACATCGTTAGCCACTTAACCTAACTGACAATACTCTCCAATTGTACTGCAAAAATGGCAATGTTCTTTAGAGTAAAAGCCTCAATATAACTTTGCTTTGAATACAGAGAACAAGAATTTTCAAGGCAAAGTATCTATCTGTCCTCCACAGGGAAATTTTCTCTAATTCAAATACTTCTTCCTTCCCTCCCTCACACTCTCTTCTCCCAGTTAAGGACTCTACTGTAGTAAGCCACTGTGATTGAAGAGCCTATGTCACAGTATTTAGTAGAAATAGATAAAATGTTTTAAAAAATGGGACAACATGGTTCTAATCAAGATCAGAAGTAAAATAATTTTCGGCATCATCTATGGACAAAATCCTCAAATACACCTACCGTAATCAGCTGGTGTGTAATTCAGAAGTTCAAATTTCCAGCGTTTATAGCTTGAATAATTCTGGTACATGTCAAATATTTCCCGGGTAAATTGTTGGCAGATATCACCTAAAAGAAAATACAAAAAAGATTTAGTTAGCATAAATTTCTAAGAGAGCCATTCTGAGGTACAAGCCCACTAGGAAACAAGGAGTAAATAACTCCAAAGTGAAACACATTTAACAAGCTTTTAAAGTTACAGTGTGTCAAATCAAGCTAAAATTTAAGTATTTTTTTTAGATCATCTACAATAAAATTATTGTACTGACCTCCAGTAGTTCTTCCAGATGTCACCTCTAAAATAACATCATTTTTGTCATATTTTTCCTTTGGCACAAGACTCTGGAAAAGCTGAAAAAGAAAAAAAAAATCAGCATTGGTGTGTAGATATTTTCCATGGTATACTTTTATTACTTTTAAAAAGTAAACAGTATACTTTTAAAAAGCTCCAAATATTAAAAAATCAGTAATTAACAAAATCATACAGCATCCCAATGAGGTCTAGTCCTGAAATGCTATAATAAGTAGACCTAAAACAAGTGATCAATTCATGTTAACAATGAAGTTACTTGTCAGGATATTCTCTACCATGCTATCAGATCATCTTGATTTTCTAAAATGCAGAAGTTTAGATCAAAGTTCAGAGTGCTCCATTCAATTTCCTTCAGATTTTGCCCTTATAATTAGTTCTGAACAGAAGCTTCTTTCATCTAGATGAATGAAGTAAAGCTTTGAAAGTCTTCCATTTGGAGAAAATGAGGACTTTTTACATATGATTGCGTATTCTCTCTTGCCATAAATGACAGCAGATACCAGGCCATGCCCCGTCTTCTCAGTAGAGTTGCTCTGCTTAAAGGGTATGTTGAGGACTCCCAAATGAGGCTCAAATAGCTTCTCAGCCATGACAAGAAAAAAGGGGGCTTCCTAACAAAGAAAGTAACCAACTTCCCTCTTGGGAAGAAAAGAGAAGTAATTTTATTTTTATTATGACTAAAAGGCCTTTCAAATCAAATGAAAAGTGCCTACATGTCATGACTCTCCCTGCTGCCAATTTTTGAAATACTTCATCTTTGCTAGAAATGATATAGTCTGTTGGAGAGAATATTAGGCTAAGAGTCAGACATCTTACTTCTGCCTTTGATTAGCTGGTTAAATCAATGATAAAAATAACTGATACTTCCACCTCATCCCCCTCAACCCCTCAATAAACCCCTCTGCTGGATTCCCAGAGGAGGACAGATTGAAGGCAGGAGGAAGGCAAGTATGACAGAGGGTAACATGGTATATAGTGCTGTGTTTTTCATTGTCTTTTAGACAAATCATTCATTAAGCTAAGAGTTAAAGACTTGTGCTAATCCATTGTCTCTATACCCTTGAATTCATTCCAATTTATCCAGAATGCAGATTTTCAGTGCTTAATTAACACAATCACCATGAACCACTCCGACTTTCTAGGACTTGAGACCCCCTGACTCTTCCCCACGGTGAACTAAATTTCTTCACCAGCATGTCTCCTTGCCTGGCAAGTTAATTAATTCAGCTTTGGAATACTGTTACTCGGTGGGTGGGGGGGAGGGGGTGTCAGGGTTTTATTCTTTGACATCACAATCTCTTCAATCTGATTCTGTAGCAAATTACAACACTAAACCAAGCTTAATCGCTTGCCATAAGAGAAGACTTAAGAAACTGGCCTTTGGACCGTATTTTTTTTTTTTTTTTTAAAGATTTTATTTTTTTCGTTTTTCTCCCCAAAGCCCCCCGGTACATAGTTGTATATTCTTTGTTGTGGGCCCTTCTAGTTGTGGCATGTGGGACGCTGCCTCAGCGTGGCTCGATGAGCAGTGCCATGTCCGCGCCCAGGATTCGAACCAATGAAACACCGGGCCACCTGCAGCGGAGCGTGCGAACTTAACCACTCGGCCACGGGGCCAGCCCCTGGACGGTATTTTGAGCAACAAAGTGTAGTCTCGCAAGAAGAGTATTCCTTTCTCTCAACACTATTGAGATCAGTTTACCTCCTAAACATACCTCTCTGTATAACGCGTTGAGTTTTTGAGCAACGGTTTGCCTCTCTTCCAATGCAAGTTCTTGTAACTGCTTTTCATCTTGTTTATTTAGACCTACAAACATGCAACAGAAGTAATGGTAAAAGTTTTAAAATACTCACAGAGAAACTCTTAAAAAACTACCTAATCTCTGCCTGCTAAGTTTTATTTCAGTTATAAAGGTAAAGAATTATAGGGGCCAGCCCGGTGGCATAGTGGTTAAGTTTGTGTGCTCCTCTTCAGTGGCCTGGGGTTCACAGGTTCAGATCCTGGGCACGGACCTACACACCACTCATCAAGCCACACTGTGGTAGCATCCCACATAAAAAAAAAAATAGAGGAAAATTGGCACAGCTGTTAGCTCAGTGACAATCTTCCTCAAAAAGAAAAAAAAAAGGCAAGAGATTATACAAAAGAATAGATAGAATCATTAGAGAATTAAGTATTTGTGAAGACTGTCCAAAAAACTTAGTGTGAAAAGAAATAGGATCTTGCCCCAAAGAATTTGTGATTGCTTATCTATAAGTAATTACAGAAAGCAGTGATTAAGCAAACAGATTTGACAATGTAAGTTTTGGAGTAAACTGGGGTGACCACTTATCTAAAGGCAGCAGCCACTGCTCAGCACACTGAGGAAACTAGCATGGCCAGAGCCACCATTTTCTTCAAATTCTGAAATCTCTCAAAATGTTCATACCTAATAAATATTTTTTAAAAACATCATGTGGGTCAAACAAAACACATCTTTGTAACCTCTGCTTTATGGAAACAATGGTCCTTTTCACACCATTTCAAAAGCAGAAAGTTAAACCATGGAATTCTAACAAAACAATGAGTGACCAAGCACAGTGGAGCCCATAAACTTTGATTCCACGCTCTAGGTGCCTGGAGACTCCGTTTGTCAGTGATGATGCTTGAAAACTGAGGTAGAAAATTTTGATTCTTAATAATAATAAAGAAGAATATAGAAATGAAGAATCTGTTATAAGAGAAAAGGCTCTTTACAACTCTTCTCTAGTCACAGAAGTCATTAGGGTCTGGTGAGACTCTGCGCCTCATTCATGCTTTCAGAATTTTAACACTTATATGTGCCAGATACTATGCTAGCTGCTGGGGACACAAGGATGAATAAAACATAATTCCAGGCCTCAAGTGGCTCAGGCTGGTGGGGAAGATGGACACATACACAGGATTACAATACATAATTAAGGCAGTGCCATGCAGGCATAACTGAGGGGGTCCAAACCAGACTTCAGCCCTTAAGGAAGGCTTCCTGGATAAGGCACTGTCTGCACTAAAATGTAATTATAGATCATCTGTTGCAGAATTTGAATATCACCACTGGCCCCACATTGTGCACATACGTCAGAAACAGAAACCAGGCCACCATTACTCAATATAGATATCTGCTTGGCCAAAGGTATCAGAAAAACCTTCTGATTTGCAATCAATCATATAAAATTATTCTCGTGGCCTCTTGTTATTTACTAAACTGTAAAATTCAACCTAATTCAATTTCACTATATCAACAAATATTCGACAGCCTATCATATCTTACGTTCAGTGCTGCAGGAGGTATAAAAATGATAAGACACAGGCCCCGTCGTCGAGGAACAGACAATGGGGGAAGGGGCTGAGGTTAAGACAGTTACACAAAGGATCAGAATACGAAACAGAGACAGGCAGCCATACTTGTTCTACAGAGGGGATTGAAACCGAAGGACGGCACCCAAGCCATACTTAGTACTTTATCAAGGTGAAACTTGTGGTAACAACGTGAGCAAAGACGTAGACATAGGATGGCACGGGTGTATTCAGGGAAAGGCAAGTTGTCTATTTTGGTTAGAAGGATGAATATGCAAAGGGAATTATTATACTACACAGAGAGGCGGGGGTCACTCTGCAGAGGCTCTTAAATAGCAAACCAAGAAATCTGTATCTATAGGCAATGGGAGCTGCTGAAATTTTGAGCAGGGGAGTAAAATGATTAAGGTTGTATTTGGACTGGAAAAGCTGCAGGTGAGATGACAAGCTAGGAATTCACTGCAATCATCTGGGATGAGATGTAATGAAGATACAAATTAGTGGAAAGAATAGAAGCGGACTCATGCAAGATACATTACAGAGGCAGAGTCTATTGGACGTCAAATTATTGTGCAGTGGGTAAGAAGAGAGGCTGCGGAGCCTCCTTGATTGGGTTCAAATCCTTGCTCCTCTCCTGACTGGCTGAGCGACCTTCGGCATTTTAACCTCTCAGTTCTCCATCTATAAAATGGGCTATTAATAATTCCTACCTCATAAGGTTATTGTGAACATTCAAATGAGATAATATTTGTAAAATTCTTAGCTTAGTGCCTGAAAATGGTAAGACTGAGTAAATGTAGCTATTATCACTTTTATTATAGAACAGCAGGACTGTAGACCTAGAAACAATCTAATCCAATCTACTAATATTATACACGATATAACCAAGGCTGAAAGAGGTTATGTCAACTTAATTTGGAAAGCATTTAGTAGGCTCCTATTATGTGCAAGCCATTTTCCCAAAACTACTTACTTATAAATTCGAGTGGCATTATGCAAAATATTAAAAAATAATCCTCATTAAATGTAGCTGAAAGACTTGTGGTGCTACTAACAGAAGGCAGGAAAATGTAAGGCTTTGGACATCAAAGACGTCACAGCTATAACTGTGACTGGCTTTGACACTGCTTAACGTCCAAGGCCTAAGGAAACAGGATAGAGCACAGAGGAAAGTCTAGAAACTAAAAGCCAATTGCAAAATCTGAATAAATGTTGAATCCTATATTAGTCTATTGTACTTTTCTCTCAACTTTGGTATATTTTGAAAAATTTCCCTAAGAGAAAAAATATTAAGGCACTAGCAATATTAAGAAATACTAAAATTAAAAATAAACACCTCTCACATCATCTACAAAATTAACTAAAATAGATGAAAGACCTAAATGTAAGGGCTAAAAATATAAAACTCTTAGAAGAAAACATAGATGTAAACCTTTTTGATCTTGGATTAAGCAACAGTTTCTTAGATATAACACCAAAAACACACACAACAAAAGAAAAAAAGATAAACTTAACATTATCAAAATTAAAAACTGTGGTGCTTCCAAGGACAATCCACAAAATGGGAGAAAATTTTTGCAAATCATATATCTGATGGAGAACTTGTATCTATAATATAAAGAACTATTACAACTCAATAATAAAAAGACAACTCAATTAAAAAATGGGCAAAGGATCTAAACAGTCATTTATCCAAAGATGGTATAAAAATGGCCCATAGACACATGAAAAGATGCTCAACATCAATCATCAGGGAAATGCAAGACAAAACCACAATAAGATACCACTTCACACCCCCAAGATGGCTAGAATCAAAACGGCAGATAACAAGGGTTGGCGAGGATGTGGAGAAACTGGAACCCTCATACACTGGGGGTGGAATGTAAAGTGGCACAGTCACTTTGGAAAACAGTCTGGCAGTTCCTCAAAAAGTTAAACATAAAGTCACCATATGGCTCAGCAACCTATGTCCACAGAAAAACTTGTACACAAATGTTCATAACAGCTTTGCTCATAATAACCAAAAAAGCAGAAACAACTCAATATCTATCAACCAATGAATGGATAAATAAAATGTGGTATATCCATAGAACGGAATATAATTCAGCAATAAAAAAGAAATGAAGTATGGATACATGCTACAACACAGATGAACCTTAAAAATATTATGCTAAGGGGCCGGCCCGGTGGCACAGCAGTTAAGTTCGCATGTTCCACTTTGGCGGCCTGGGGTTTGCCAGTTCACATCCCGGTGCAGACATGGCACCACTTGGCGCACCATGCTGTGGTAGGCATCCCACATATAAAGTAGAGGAAGATGGGCACGGATGTGAGCTCAGGGCCAGTCTTCCTCAGCAAAAAAAGGAGGACTGGGAGCAGATGTTACAGGGCTGATCTTCCTCAAAAAAAAAAAAAAAAAATTAAGCTAAGCAAAAGAAGCCAGTCACAAAGGACAACATATTGTGATTTCATTTCTATAAAACGCCTGAAATAAGTAGATCTATAGAGACAGAAAGTAGATTAGTGGTTGTCTAAGGCTAGTAGGGAAGGGGAGATTGAGACAAGATGGCTAAAGGGTGTGGGGTTTCTTTTTGGGGTGGTCAAGTAACAGCTAGACCATATAAGCCCTTTGACAGAGCAGGAACTGTATTTTTGTGTCCCTGGAATGTGGCCTGCAGGACAGTGCTCAATAAAGCTCTGCTCAATAAGTTAAAGCCTCTGAAAAGGTCAATACTCAGTCTCCCAGACCCTAAGAACTTCTTGACAATCACCCCAAGGAGCCTGGTCTCTTAGACTTGATCTTTAGTAGCTGAAATCCTTCCAACACCCAGAGTATAGAGACCTGTCCTTTCTAAGTGTAGAGCTTATTACTTGTAAACTTTTTAAAAGACTGAGTTCAATAAAGCTTTAACTCAGAAAATCAATTCTGGACTTGCAGACACACACGTATCTTTTACCTACTTTTACACATTGATTCTAATTCTTCAATTGCTTGTTCAGCCTCCTGAATTTCTCGGTAAATGGCTGCAAGTGGTGCCAACTCAGCATGCCTTCGATTCAAGGATCTTCGGTCTCCTTCATTCGCAGACACACGCTGCAAACACTGATCAAGGGTCCGGTACTCCTTATTCAGTTCCTCCATATATTTCCGTAGTGCTTTATGCTTCCAGAGCGTCCAGGTGTCTTGATGACAATACCTCCTAAACCAATTCTTATTTAGTAGACGAGGAAGAACGTGATTCCTATTTTGTCTAAAAACCACCAGTCTTGTATCAAGATGTATCTGTGGAAACTGATAAGAATGGGGATGGATGTGGCAGTGGCGGTGACCGTTTAGAGATGGATGTCTAAAAAGCCAAACACACAGGTGACGATTCATCTCAGCACCTGCAATATAATAAACACAATGTGAAAAAAAATCAACTCCATAGATATAAAAGCTGGAAGGAGTCTCAAGAAATCTTCCTCAGTTCACTGCTTCAGCCAGCTCCAAACACGGTCCCAAAATTCAATAACCCACAAAAGGAAGATAATCCTTCAAACTTCTGAATATAACATTAAAATAAATGAAGATAGCACTGTTTTCTATACACTCAACATACATAATTAGCTAACGCAAATAAGTAGGAGCATAATTAATAAATATATCAATAGAATGGATTAAATCAGGAATTTTCTAGAAAGTATCCAGAATCTAGAATTGAGGGTGTGGAAAAAACTTGAAAGGTACGAAATAATCATGCAAACGTTAGGTGGTTCACATAGTAATAGATTTCTATAAAGTTTGAAGGAAATATTAACTATTTTCTCATCTAATTCTTTAAGTATCCAGATTCCAAGGAAGTCAAGTAACTTAATCACGATTATTCACTCAGCCAGAAGGAGGCAGAGCTGATTCCAGGATGCAGGTTGCCTATTCAGAGCTCAGGGCTTCTGATTCCCAAGTCTGCAATCACTCTTCAAAGGTGCTTCCCTTTTAGCTGAGATCCTAAAGGAAGAAAACTTCAAATATTCACAGACTAAGAAAGTAGGAGGTCCGGTAAAAATGGACAATGGCAATAATTATATTAAATGAAAAAAGAAGAATGCAAAACAATATAAGCTCAATTAGGTTTTAAGAATCTTCTACAATATATGGAATGCATGCGAAAAAGGTACACAGTATTTTGAAAAAAGAAGATTAAAAAAGAAATATACCAAAATGTTAATAAGATGATCTGTAGTTGTGGGATTATGGATACCTTTTGCTTGCTTTCTATTTTTTCTACTTTTTAGTGTTTTCTAAGTCTTTTATACATATAGCACATATTACTTTCATAATCAGGAAAAAAAATTACAAGTTACCTGAAACTGGCTGTGTACCATTATCTGTTCTCTTGCCTCTAACAGAGATAATCAAGAGCTCATGAAAGTACACAATGGTTTCATTAAGAAAGGAAAAAGATAAAGTGTTCTAATAAAAACACTTTGCCCTTTGGGGCTGGGGTGGTGGTGGAGTGGTTAAGTTCACACGTTCTGCTTCAGTGGCCTGGGGTTTGAGGGTGTGGATCTCCGGCCTGGACCTACACATTCCTTATGAAGCCATGCTGCGGCAGGCGTCCCACATACAATGTAGAGGGAGATGGGCATGCAGGGATGTCAGCTCAGGGCCAGTCTTCCTCAGCAAAAAAGAGGAGGATTGGTGGCAGATGTTAGTTCACGGCTAATCTTCCTCAAAAAAAATAAATAAATAAATAAAAATAAATACTTTGCCCCTAAAATCCTGAAGTTCAAAGTTGAAACAAGGGTCAAAATTTATCACAACCTTTATTGTCTCCAATGTTCCTACTATGCTAGGAGGTGCATTCATCTTTTAGCTCATTTGATCATTCTACATCTAATTTAGATATCATTATCTCCTAGGAAATAAAATATTCAGAATGGTCTCTAAAATCTGCAAAGTTTGCAGGTTCTACTAATGAACTTTAAGATACTCACTCACCCTTGGAAAGGACTGTGGAAGACTGCATCAAGGGCCCCTAGCCACGAATGTTACAGGCTTCCAGCAAAAGCTTGTGTGTCTTTACCTCTAGTCTCAAGCACATCAGAGGAGGTGTGTCCAACTGAAAACGGTCAGAATAAAATGATGGCAAACAGATTTTTGTTAGAACACTTCTAGATAAAACTTCCATCTTAGGAACAGTAGTAGAATGAGTAACTCAAGGTCATGAACTTCAATGCTAAGGGAGGAAAAAAAGACGTTTACTCACTAGGGTTATCTATATTCGAGAACAGCAAGTCTTCTCCATCACCCACCACAGCAACAGGACTTCTCTGATACTCTAGGAACAATTCTCAGCATCGGGATGTCAGAATTGACACTAAGCCTGAGCGACAGCAGCACGTGTAAGCCATACCGAGTGACATAGTATACAGTATGCGGTGATCCCACAAGGAGACAACATGGAAAAAAAAATACACTGGAGAAAGAAAAAGACTTTTTTAACGATCAGAACAAAGAAATGAATCGTGAGTACCTAAGAAAAAGAAGAAAGGACGTTAATTTTCCTTCCTGAGGTCGGAACCTTCTGTAACTCGCTACATTTCCGCCCAACAAACACGGGATCACTTTTACTCCCTGGTTCACTTCTTCCGGGTTAACGCTCGATCCGGCTCCTCCTCGGTCTCGACCCTCCTCCAGAGGAGTCGTCCTTGGTCGTGCATAAGAATGAGCTGACGGAAGAAGCAAAAGAGAAAAATGGCAAAGCGAGAATAATGCTCACAAGACAACCTCGCGGGGTACTTTTCCCGAAGGCGTGGGTTGCGATTTGGAGCCGGGGGCGCAGAGGTTAAGCAAGGGGAGGGGCGGCGCCGGCGTGTGAAATGAACTACGACTCCCAGGAACTCCCGCCCAGGAATCCTGGGAGTTGTAGTTTATACCCGAAACGGCGCTCTGCTCCCTGGGCCGAAGGTGGAGCTTTGGTTTTCAGTTTCAGACAAACCCAGGAGAGTCACTACAGTTTTGATAAGAGGTCAAGATTTACAATACATTAATGTAAAATCACAAGAATTTCGTTATATATGGAGCCACTAAAGCAGTGGTTCCTGATTTTTTTTTAATCAGGATCCCCTTCTCATTATTTAAAAATTTAGGGGATTCTGCATATTAATAGCTGTACTTTCAGCTTCCATTTCATGAGAAAATGGCTAATGACTAAATGACACTATAAATTTGTATTTTTAAAAATCGTAACGGGGATCCAAAAGGTAGGAGACTATATATATCCACAAGTTAGTGATTTTATAGATGTTGCATGCAACTACGGAATTTAGGGGATCAACTTCAGTTCATAGCTTGTAAGCCACTGATTAAAGGATTAAAAACTCAAACAATAACCAGTTCCAAGAAAATGCAAACATAGTGTCTTTTTGAATATTTCAGTGGGATACACACCTTGGCGATCACATTTACAAGTCATTTGATCTCTCTGCCTCAGTATTTCTTCCTGAAAAGCAAAGGCGAAAAGAATTCCATATTATTGAATTTACAGGATATTTTTTAGATTATGACCACATATGTAAAAGGGAGAATTATCCATAAATGTAAATATCTAACATTTATTACCTGCTTCAAGGTATCTACTTCTACCTACTACATTTTAATTTTTTTGAGGAAGATTAGCCCTGAGCTAACATGTGCCACCAATCCTCCTCTTTTTGCTGAGAAAGACTGGCCCTGAGCTAACATCCGTGCCCATCTTCCTCTGTTTTATATGTGGCATGCCTACCACAGCATGGCTTTTGCCAAGTGGTGCCATGTCCACACCTGGGATCCGAACCGGCAAACTCTGGGCCGCCGAGAAGCAGAATGTGTGAACTTAACTGCTGCGCCACTGGGCTGGCCCCAACGAAATCTTCTAATTCTGTATTTTGATTTGTGTATGCAGATATATATCTTAAGTTATTCTCCTTAAAAAAATAAGACTTACTGGTATGGACTGAATTGTGTCCCTCCCAAATTCAGTATGATGAAGCTAACCCCCAATGTGACTGTACTGGAGATAGGGCCTTTAAGGGGGTGATTAAGGTTAAATGAGGTCCTAAAGGTGGAACCCTGGTCTGATAGGATTGGTGCCCTGATACGAAGAGACACCAAAGAGCTTGTGAGGTCTCTGTGTGTGTCTCTCTCTCCTGCAACAGAGCACAAAGAGGTCATGTGAGCACAAAGAGGTCATGTAAGCACACAGCAAGATGGCAAACACCTAGAAGCCAAGAAAAGAGGCCTCAGAATGAAACCTACCTTGCCAGCACCTTGATTTTGGATTTTCCAGCCTCCAAAACTGTGAGAAGTAAATTCCTGCCACCCAATAGTGTATTTTGTTATGGCAACCCAAGCAGACTAATACTCTTACATACATAAAAATTTATTGAGGGGCCTGCCCGGTGGCACAGCGGTTAAGTGCACACATTCTGCTTGGGTGGCCCGGGGTTCACCAGTTTGGATCCTGGATGCGGACATGGCACCGCTTGGCAAGCCATGCTGTGGCAGGTGTCCCACATATAAAGTAGAGGAAGATGGACACAGATGTTAGCTCAGGGCCAGTCTTCCTCAGCAAAAAGAGGAGGATTGGTGGCAGATGTTAGCTCAGGGCTAATCTTCCTCAAAAAAAAAAAATTATTGAGATATACATGAAACTTTATGCACTTTGTGTATATTATTCCTCAATTTAAAAAAATCCCTAAAGACATTTATGCTTGGTGTTATAAATACTGCTTCCTCCTCCATTTTTTTTTTTTTTTCTTTTAAAGATTTTATTATTTCCTTTTTCTCCCCAAAGCCCCCCGGTACATAGTTGTATATTCTTCGTTGTAGGTTCTTCTAGTTGTGGCATGTGGGACGCTGCCTCAGCGTGGTCTGATGAGCAGTGCCATGTCCGCGCCCAGGATTCGAACCAACGAAACACTGGGCTGCCTGCAGCAGAGCGCGCAAACTTAACCACTCGGCCACGGGGCCAGCCCCCTTCCTCCTCCATTTTTTAAGGAAGAAAATAATGTGGCATATCTATATATGTTAACATGCAAAGATTTCCACAATATATTGTTAAGTGAAAGAGGACATTAAAAAACTCAGCAAACTATTCCATAACATACGTGATGCATATATATTTAAAAGTCCAGTGGAATTATCAGTAATCTTTATTTTTCTCTTTATAGTATTCTAGATTTCCTGAAGTTTTGTGATGAGTATTATTATAAACAAGAAAGCTATAAAAGAAACGAAGACATTCTTTAATGTTTGACTGAAAAAGCCTTATGGAAATTATTATTGTGAATAATAATATGGATAATTTCAGATTTCACAGGAATCATTTTATGAAATGAAATAACTTCTACTTCCAAAGAGTCTAATATGTTACAGGATAAAAAATTTCCAGAAATAGTAATAAAAAAGGTTGAGTCAGTAAAAAAAAAAACAAAAAAAGAGAATTTGATTAAATTAGCAATGAGCTACCATGTCTGAAATAATTCACAATAAAGTTGACTATAAATAGTTTCTTTGTTGAATGAATTTGTAATGGGCACTGACAACTTGGTATCCCTTTGAGAAACTAAATGATTTGTGTCCCCCTCCTCCAGGAGCCTTCTTCCACTTGGAGTAATCTGTCGATGAAAATAATCTGTAACCAATCTATAAACGAAAATTTTGGTGGGTTTATTCTGAGCTAAAATGTGAGGACCATGGCCCGGGGCCTTTCTTCCTGAAGGAAGAAAGGGCATCAAAGAAGTGGGGTGTACAGAGTGGTTATATACCCCCAAAGAGGATGTTTCACATATGATTGAAATGTCCCTTTTACAATAGTTGAGAGACTGCTCTGTCAGCACAGCGATTGATGGACACAGGTAGATCTGCTGTCTTGGTGAACACAGCAGGGTGGCAGGTGTGTTGTCTCAAGCTGGGTGGTCACAGGTGAGCTGGGTGGTGGTCATAGGTGAGCACAGCAATCAGTTCCTAGCCTAGGGAGAGATGCTTATCCTTAAGGAAATGCCAATGTGGGGGGACATTGTACCTTTATCTTAAGGACATTTGTTCTTGCCATAGTAAATGTTTAAAGCAGATCTACAATGCATGCTCAATGGCCACGGTCAGGCCCTTTTGGAAAAAACAAAGTCAGGCCGAATTAGGTTTACACCAAAGGGCTTCCTCATATACTCCAATATATCCTATTGCTTGCCATTTCTATTTGTCAAACCTAAAACAACAAAATACATGGAGCCATTTTTCAGATCCATTGAGAGCCAACTCAGCCCAAAACCCAAAGGTGTAGGGAAAGGGGATTTTCACTTAGCTTCCTCTCAGAGATCTCCAGATTGTTTTAAAGATTGTGAAGACACTCTTGTGTCTACAGTACTAACAGAAGGTTGATTCATGTTGTGGACAAGGATAACAAAATGGCGTGACATATTTTGGGGCTTCTAAAGTGGAGCTGGGAGGAAATGGGGCTTATGCACACACACCACCTTGATACCCAGATGGAATGTAACTTTTGAACTGTGCCTCACTGTTGTCAACTTGACCTTCTTTCAAGAAATATGCTTACTCCCATAGATAAGAACTTTGTGCCTTAGAGATGGCCTTAGCAACCAATCACATACGACCAAGAAGTAACAGTTGTTGCTAGCACCAGTGACGAATCTTGCAAAACAACCTGTCTAATTTATCTCTTTTTGCCTTTATAAATCCTTGCTTCCTTTGTCTTCCTCAGAACACATTGTGGGTTTCTACCTGAATCTGTGTCTCCTGGATTGCAATTCTAATTGTCCAAATAAACATCTGCTGTTTGAATTGTAGTGAAGTTTTCCTTGGTCCACAGTGTCTTTCCACAAGGATTCCACATCAATAAAGTGTGAGCTTAGGACTTTCCCTGAGAGCAGCAGAACACCAGGATTTCCTCAGACCTGAACATTCTTTGGGGAGCAAGACTGGGGTGGGTGTAGAGACTGTTGCCAGCTAAGTTGAAACCTTTGGTCCCATTTGGGAAATTTTCAGAGGCACTGGAAGCAATGTAAAATCTCAGCGCATAGGCCATAACACATTATGTTTCATAGCACACTATGACGATGCACCTAGCTTTCTAGTTCCCTGGAGTTTAGGCTCTTGACCACATCTGGAGACATCCCACAATGCGAAGATCAGCAGTGGCTTGGGATTTTAATCAGATATATTTTACTATAGAAAAAATGAAATCAGGAATTATTTAGCAATTTAATACAAAATTCAAGCTCTCACTAAGGTGGAAAATAAAACAAAGATTATTCTCTTTGTATTCTTATAAACTATCTTCCCTGAGAAAAGCAGAATACGAAGGATGAAAAAGGAGCATTTCTTCTTTTCACATATTCATACTGGTTCTCAAATTTTTCTTAGCCTGGAATGCGCCACCTGCTGGCATTATTGAAACTAGATCACTCAAACAATTTTCAGGGTCAGAGATGTTTAAGAGGCCTTGAAAGGTCAACTACTATCTTTCTTTTACTCTGAAAAAAAAAAAAGCAAAGACAAGTCAAAGACTAACTGATCCTGGAAACTCTTTCCCCCCCCCCAAACTGCTATTAGCCTAAGTTGATGTCACCCTTGTTAACAAGCTCATTTAGTGTTGTCTCCTACAACTTCTTGGTAATTTTCTCTCTTCCATCTATCATCCTAAATTTCATGCTAAATATTTTTCTTAAATCATTCACTTTGTTTTTTTGTTTTGTTGGGTTATTTTGAGGAAGATTAGCCCTGAGCTAATATCTGCTGCCAATCCTCCTCTTTTTTCTGAGGAAGACTGGCCCTCAGCTAACATCTGTGCCCATCTTCCTCTATTTT